ATGACTCAGAATTAAAATCATCAAGATCACTTGACTGTTTGTCTTGTGTTCTTTCATCATCCCTTCGCCGAACTTCTACCCACCTTCGTGTTCCCTCTTCGAGGCCCTAGACCTCAGGCTTATAAGCCCCTCCCGACTGGAGCAGTCCACGGCAGTAGTTAGAAAAGTTAGACTTGTCACTTTTTATATCAAGAAGTTGTGTTCAGTAAACCCCGTTGGCCTCCATTTAATTAAATAAATGTTCTTGTTATATATCATTGCGTTTTCAGTGGGTTTTCAGAGGCAATAAATTGCACAGGAGGAGATTCCCCACTTTTCTTCTGCAGAGCAGCTGAATAATTGCATGAGAATTTGGATTTACAATGACTTAATACTAGGCTACTAGAGCTCCCTAAATGAATATATGGACCTCTTCAAGTAAGTGTATGTAATTATTCACTTTGACAAGCACAATTTTAACTATGCTTTTACAGCCAGAAAGTATTAGTTTTTTTAAAAAAGAGTAGGTAAAGCCAACTTGAATGAAGATATGACAAATACATTTCTGGATTCCTAATATGAATTCTTTTTTCCTAAATCTCTGAAGCCAAATCAAGTATTTTATTAATAGGAGTTGGGGGACAGGGGGAAGAATAGTAAAATCATTCATAAAAATAAAAATAAAATGGACTATTTGAAGCTGTTGTTGTTGTGTGCCATCAGAACTGACCCATAGCTGACCTTCCAATGAGTTTTCAGATACAGTAAACTGCATGAGAGACTCATCCTTTCCCATGAAGCAGCTGATACACCTTTGAGATTGCAACACAGCTTCTTACCAGTAGATCACCCAAGCTCCCTACTTTAATGAGGGTAGGTATAGGGAACTAATGTAGTTATAATGGAAAGCTAGGCCTTAATAACACATTTAAGTTTTGGTCATTTTTCCCCATATATTTTTTTCTACTAGTTTATTTACAGATTTCGAATATATTGTTTTCAAGAAAAAAATTCTTTCCATTTCCTTCCCTTCCTATCAGATTGTATCCCCCATATATTTTGTAACAGCGTTCTTCTGCCATACTGAAATATCACTGAGTTGGAAAGTTACCTTCTCCATCTAAAAAAAACCATTTGGTCACCAGTTAAGAGCTGGAATCCATCTTGGGAAGTAGTCTGGAGCAGCCAAATTCTATAGAGGTTTGTTTTCTAGTTCTGGTGAGGATTAGGGTAGAATGATTATTCGTCATTGGGTGTGAGTTAGATTGTATTCGGCCTCTAATTGGAAAAGAAATTTGGGTTCTCAGGCCTGTGGCCCTCAGATCATGTTTTAATTGTTTTTGGTCAAATATTCTTCTAAGTGATATAGCATGGATCTGTCCATTTGCTCTACAGAGGTAACTCGTGGTGGCTGTGATGCTAAACACTGTGACACTGATGTGCCAAATGCGATAATTGTTACCCTTGGTGGGCAGTGTTTGGTGGAGCTCCCCAATTAAAACAAGCTTGGAAGCAGGAGTGGTGTCCACTTCTGAAAGAGCTTGCCTTTGGAAACCCTATGAACTTGGTGAAACGACGAAAGTTCAAGTGTTCAGGTCTTTTGTTCATAGGGTCACTATAAGTCGACTACGACTTAATGGCAATTAACAACAACAACAACAACAACAACATAGCTTTGGTGACACAGTAGGTTAAGCATTGGGCTATTAACAAAATTGAACTCACCAGCAACTCTGCAGGAGAAAGATGAGACACTCTCCTTCTGTTAAGATTTATGGCCTCACAGTCTTAATATAGGATCAACATAAATCAGAATCTAAAATAATAGAAGTTGATTTGACTTTTTTTCCTCAGTAGCCCTCCAAGATCCCTGGTGGTACAGTGGTTAAAGTGTTTGGTGTCCAACCAAAAAGACCCCTTGCTCTCAGTATATATCACAGCCTTGGAACCTCTACAGGCACAGTTCTACTCTGTCCTCTCCAGGATCTCTCTGACTGAGAATAGATTAGATTACAAATGATTCACTTTTATAGTCTTTTTCTTTGTTTTTGAGTTAGCAGTTGAATTCTGTTCTCATTATCTGTAGGCAGTTGCCCTTTTAACTCAAAAGCTGTGCCTCTCTGGTGATTCAAATCCATCAGTGGCTCCAAGGGAGGAAAATGGGCAATATTTTTTCCACAGGATTTAAATAATGGAAAATGCACTGGACGGTCAACAGTTAGTTCTTACTTGCGTAAACTGCAATAAGTCTTTTCCTTAACTTCAAAATTTTTTTTATTTTAATTATTATTTTGATACAAATTTATAGAAAAATTGGATTTTCATTCATTCATTTTTATACATTTTCCTTCTTCCCCCTCCCTTAGTTCACTTTTTAAAATAAAACATTATTTATTGTTGTACAATTTCCTCCTTCTTCCTCCTCCAGTCTTTTTTGCAATGTACCTCTTACTCTAGACAATTGTCTTACAAATAATGTCTAATCATATATTCCTTTTTAAAAGTTCTCTCCCTCTTCTGTTCCAAAACAGTGTTCATTATCTATCCACTCTTTCTCTATTCTCCTCCCAGTCCCCCATGTCAGTCCTGCTTCATAACAGTGGTGTTATGTGGCCTTTGTCCTTTGAGATTGAGACATTTCATTCAACATTATGTCCTCCATGGTCATCTATGTTGTGTAATGTGTTATGAGTTCATTATTTTTCAGTGCTTCATAGTATTCCATTGTGTGATTATATCATAGTTTTCTATCCATTTGTTTGTTGTTGGGAATTTGTGTTGTTTCTATCTCTTTGCTATTGTGAAAAATACAGCAAAAAATATGAACGTGCATCTTTGGATGATGATCCTGGTTTCTTTAGGGTATATTCTCAATATTACAACTGCTGGGTCAAATGGTATTTCTATTTCCATTTTTCTTAAGAAAGTTCCAAGCTGCCTTCCATATTGGTTGAATCATTTTCATTCCCACCAGCAGTGAATAAGGGTTCCAATCTCTTCACAATCTCATCAACATTTGATGTTTTCTGCTCTGCAAGTCTTTGCTATTGTTGGTGGGGTAAGATGATATTTCATAGTTGTTTTGATTTGCATCTCTTTGAAAGCTAGACGTTTTGAACATTTCTTCATGTGATTGTTTGCCATGTGAATATCCTCTTTGGTGAAGTGTGTATTCATATCTTTTGCCCATTTTGCAACTAGGTTATTTACCTTTTCTTTGTTGAGATGCTGGAGTATTCTATACATTTTAGATGTGCATAAGTCTCTTATCAGATCTGTCATTATCAAATAGTTTTTTCTAGTCTGTGGTTTTCTTTTTCACCCTGTTGGAGAAGCCTTTGAGGTGCATAGGAACTTGATTCTTAGATGGTCCCATTAATCTTTTTTGTTATAGGTTTTCCTTTACTTTTGCAGTTAACTTAAGTAAGTTAACTTAATAGGAGGCCTGGTAGCTAGTGGGTAATTTGTTGGACTGCTAACAAAAAGTCAGAGGTTAGAAATCCACTAGTAATTTGTAAGAGAAAAGATGGCAAGTTCCTCTTATAAAGCTTTACAGCCTAGGAAACTAATAGAGATTCCAAAGCTTCTGGATGGCAGTGGGTTTGGTTTTATTTCACCTTTACAGAGAAATCCTAAACCATCTATTTCCGGTGAAGTTTTAGGTTTTTGTCATTTTCTAAGCCAGTTGTGTTTGTTTGCTTGTTTGTCTTTAAGGTGCAGAAGGGGTTTAAAGGATTACACTAATCTAAGGTCAAGTTACAGTGCAGAGGCAAAATTAGGGCTAGAAGGGTCCGTTTTACAGAAGCAGGTGAGTAAACTTAACGCAAGTCATTTCCCTTATAAGAACAGGCAGGTGTTAGAAAATCGGCTTTTTGCATAAGATGAGAATGTCTGCTTACAACGGAAGTTTGGTATTATGAGAGCCTCACTGAATCCCCATAAGCAACTGGTGGTGTCCAGGGCAGGAAAGTGGGAGGCAGGAAGCAGCAAGGCTCAAGCTCCCTTTCCTGGGTAGGATTAGGAATTTATTTTCAGCAAATTATTTATTGGAGCCGAATAAGTAGAGCTCTATGGCTTAATGGGTAAGAGAGTTGTACTGCCAATCAGAGAGAAGCAGTTCAAATCCACCAGCTGCTCTGAGGAAGAAAGATGGGCAACCTCTTCCCTTTCAAATGACAGCCTCTGAAATCCTGCTGGAGGATCAGCCTCTGCATGAGTCAGTTCTGAAGGATGGCAATGGGTTTTAGTTCCTAAAGCACCAGGATTAAAAGCCCAGTGAAATATTGTCTTGTCTTTGAGGGACTCACAGGTCAGCAAAACGGCTTCAACAGTCCTTGTGAGATAACTTTTATCTTGAGAGTTATGGCGGGGGCGGCGGGACTGTATCTAAATGAAAACTTTTCTGCAAAGAATTAAAAAAAAAAAAAAAAAAAAAAGAAAAGCCAAATCTGACATTAGGGTGGACAGAGGAGAGTTTTACAGAGTGGTGGTGGTGCCAGACTCGGGAGCCTCCAGACGTGAGGCTGCGGTGGTGTCCCCTGCTGGCAAGAGACAATCCAGCGGGTCCCCAGCACTGGCACCCTGGGGCTTGGCTTGGGCGCAGCCAGGCTCGAGCCTGCAGCAGAGAGCCTGATGGGGGCCAAGTGGAGGTCAGGACAGTGCTCCCGTTTCCTGGCCTTGCCTGCAGCCTAGGGTTCTGACCGCACCCTCCCAGGCCAGCTCCTGCCTTCTCTTTCCTCCACCTTTCCTCCAACCAGGTCTCCAAGGAGCTCCAGATAACGCGGTCCTCGCCGCCTTCCCTAGCCCGAGAACACTGCGCCCCCAGGCAGCAGCGGAGGCGGCGCGGGACCCGCCAGGGGAAAGCTTGGATGGGAGAGGGGGCGGTCCGCGCGCGGGGGGAGGGAAGGGGCTAGAGAGGGGGATTCCAGGGACGAAGCAACCCCGCCCCCCGCCCCCTCTTCTGCTCGGCTCAGACCCCGAGGAGCTGGAGAGCATGGACCAAACCCCTCAGCGCTGGCACCATGACGCTCACACAGCTCGTTGTGGCTCTGATTTTAGGGGCTGTTCCCCAAGTGGTCAGCCTTGATCCGAGCCTCAGTTCTTCCCCCCACCTTCTCACTCCGCAGCAGCAACAGCAGCAGAAGACGCCTCCACCTCCCCCTGTCCGGCGCCTTCCTTGGGCACTAGCAGCCCCGCGCCTACACTTAGTCCTTGCAGCGCCCAGGTCCCGGCTGCACCCGGGGGGCTGCCCTGCCGGTGAGCCGTGGGTCAACGTGACAGACTTCGGCGCCGCTTGTCTACGCTGGGCAGAGGTGCCACCCTTCCTTGATCGGTCGCCCCCGACGGGTTGGTCTCAGTTGCGCGGGCAGCGCCACAACTTTTGTCGGAGTCCAGACAGCGCGAGCCGCCCCTGGTGCTTCTATGGGAACGCCCAAGGCAAAGTGGACTGGGGCTACTGTGACTGCAGGCAGGGTGAGTGCCCGTGGGCAAAGGAGGGAACTCGGGGCTGGCGGGGAGCCAGTGGGCTTGGGGCCGGCGTGGGTGTCTGCGAGTGTGTTGGACTGTGTGTGGCAGGCAGCTTGCACTGCGGGGTGTGGTGGACGACTACCACAAAGTGGTACTATAGTTCAAGTTATCAATTCGCGCTTTGTATGTGCAAGTTGTCAGGGGTGACAGTTTCTATGTAAGGTATTGAGGACTTCCTGTCTTCTAGCAGTTCTGTCTGTGTGTAGTTTGTGTATGTTGGAAGTGTGTCTTCTAGATCTGCTTACCTTGAAGAGATTTACCTTAAAGAGACAAAGAAAATCAAATGGTCAAAGTGCTGATTACTTACTCTTGAAAAGGTAATATTAAATTGAGTATTAGAACCAAGGTAACTTCATCTCCTCTCCATAAATGTCCATTAGGAAAAATATATGGTAAATTTTTGCCTGTTCCCACTGTTGATTTCTGTTTGGAAAAACAAACAAACAAATGGTCAAATTTGCTCTTTGTAATTTTGTAAAATTAAACCTCTTTGAGTCCCGCGGACCAAAATACACTTTGTCAGAATGATGTTCAGATTCTGAAACACAATACGGTAAATACCAAGGAATGAAAGAAAGAGAAAAGGAAGATAGAGTAGTAACCAGTAAAGAAACAACTGTCGTGATGTGCCATGGGGTCTGTGGAGAGGGTCCTCCAGCAGGTTTTCAGAGGCTCTGTATCCCAGTATTTCAGAGCCCAGCATTCAGCTTTGTATGTTATTTGTGGGAAATTGCAGTTAGTAATAACCAGAGATTAAGTTGATAAACACTTTAATTCTGTGGTGATAAAAGCATCACATTAGTAAATTTAATAGAAATGGGGTAATGCCTTTTGACAGTGCATCACTTAGAATGGTAGAGGTTTTGTTTAGCATTCAGGCTTTCCTCCCACCCCCACCTTTTATTTAAGTAAGCAACTGGAGAAGAAGAAAAAAAGTATGTCCTTCAAAGTTTGAATTCCCATTAAATTATTTTTTTGGCAAATTTCCATCCAAGCAGGTGGGGCACGGGCTTCATGAATCGGGATCCTGAAATACGTATTTTATCTCTGTTTTTTTTTTTTGAGGTTAGCTTTCCTGATGTCATTTTTTTCCCTACAGAAATTTATTTATCTCTGCCTTCAATTGCATTAGTGCTTTGAGTTAAAGGAAAAGGATAGGAAGGTTAAGATCAATTATCCTTCATCCTAGAGAATGAAGTCATCGCTATATTCCTGTTTCATGGACAGAATGTGAATGTGGCTATAAAAAAAATATGGTGATATCAAGGAAAGAGCCCTAGCATTATCTTATTATTTACTGTAAAGGATTGCTTGTAGTAAAAGAAAAGATTTTGCAAATACTGACAATTTTCCTCCTGTTTTTCTTAGTTTTATAAATGTGCAAGGGTGCAGGTTTATTAGGGTATACATGCATGAGAAAGAATAAAGGATTCATTTACATACAAAAATAGAACAGTAGTCAATGTTTAAAAACTAAAGTGATCTATTGTTCTGTTTTTGATGCATAAGTCTTTCAGTATTATATTCCAAATGATAGTAGCTTGTCCTTGAGTTTCTTTACTCCTCCACCCCCTTGAGTTGAAGACTTTTAAATATTTAACAGCCATTCAGTTTCTTTATAATGCTTTTCTGCTCATAACCAGATATCATCACTGGCTAAATCTCCAAAGAGTATATCATCATAGTGTGTACTTCCTGGAGCAAAGTGATTTGAATACAAACAACAGAAACAAAAGAAAGCACCCAAATGGGAGTTAAATATTTTACCATGAAAAAGGGAAGCAATACAATGTATAATAGCTGAATTCCTTTCAGGGACTCATTCCTGATATTCAAAGCTTCCTATTCTGTGCATTTCTCCTTAGAAGCTGGCTAGGGATACTCTACACCTTGGAAATAACTAGCATATTTGGAATCTTATTCCTTACATTTCAGTTAGGTGTGTGAAGTAGAAGAATCCTCAAAAAGATGAAAAGATACTGAATTATGTTATTATGTTTTAGAAAACTGGTGTCAATTGAGGCTGTCAGTGGTAATGATGCAGTCTTAGGTAATATTCTGAACTCTGTGTTTTTGTTGTTGGGGTTTTTTGGTTTTTTTGGTCTAAGAGAAAGCAGTTGAATAGACAAATTCAAAAGACTTTCCACTCTTTTTTTTTTTTTTTTGCTTTTTTCTTTTTTTTAACATTTAGTTTGTTTATTTTTCATTTCAATAAACATCTACAGAGATTTTGGAATTCCATTCATTCATTGTTGCACCCTTCTCCCCGCACAAAC